TCTCAAACACAACTTGCACGCAAATTATGCTGTGGAATCGAATGCACCATGCGCATGGTGCATACGATGCAAAACGACGTTGTTTTGGTTAAAAAACGCGTGTTCCGCTTAAAATAAAAATCAGGTTCGATTCTCGATAATAGCGTTTTTATATGTCCATAAATTTATAATTATATATCTATAAATTCATAACTATATATCCACAGTGAAAGAATGAAGTCGTTTTGGTTAAAAAACGCGCGTCCCACTTAAAAAAGAAATCAGGTTCAATTCCCGGCAATAGCATTTTTATATATCCATAAATTAATAACTATATATCCACAAATTCATAACTATATATCCACAGTGAATGAATGAAGTAAAAATCCACAATGAATGAATTAAATATCCATAATGAATGAACTAAATATCCACAATGATTGAACTAAATATCCACAATGAATGAACTAAATATCCATAAATTCATAACTATATATCCATAAATTCAAACTATATATCCACATTGAATGAATGAAGTAAATATCTACAATGAATGAACTAAATATCCACAATGAATGAACTAAATATCCATAAATTCATAACTATATATCCATAAATTCATAACTATATATCCACAATAATGTTATTGCCGAGAATCGAACCTGAATTTTTTTTTAAAATGGGACGCGTGTTTTTAGTCAAAACGACGTCGTTTTGCATCGTATGCACCATGCGCATGGTGCATTCGGTTGCACAGCATAACTATTGCAACTTGCATACATATCTTCATGGATATATGATGAAGATACATTAGTTTTTTCATATTTATAATCTTTGGATAGTTATGCTGTGCATCCGTATGCACCATGCATGGTGCATACGGATGCAAAAACGACGTCGTTTTATTAAAAACGCGCGTCTCCCCTTAAAAAAAATCAGGTTCGATTCCCAGCAACAGCATTATGTTGTTCATTCATTCTGGAATTTTAGTTCATAGATTATGAAATTTTAGTTCATTGATTCTGGAATTATAGTTCATCGATTCTCGAATTGTAATTCATCGATTCTGAAATTTTAGTTCATAGATTCTGAAATTTTAGTTCATTAATTCTGAAATTTTAGTTCATTAATTCTGAAATTTTTAGTTCATAAATTAGATTCTGGAATTTTAGTTCATAGATTCTGGAATTATAGTTCATCGATTCTGGAATTTTAGTTCATCGATTCTGGAATTTTAGTTCATATGTTGTTGCTAGGAATCGAACCTGAAATTTTTTTTTTTTAGTGGAGACGCACATTTTTAATAAAACGACGTCGTTTTTACATCCGTATGCACCATGCATGGTGCATACGGATGCACAACATAATTTGCCCTCTTTAGTAACCCATCTCATCTGATCTGATCTGATCTGGACATCAACTTACAGATAGTGAAAAGGCATTGGATCAAGTAATTAAATTTAAGATCAGTAATATATATATATATATATATATATATATATATATATATATATATATATATATATAAATCATTGGTAAGGGGAGACTACTTATTTCTCTCATAATTCAGCTAATATTGTATACCAGTTGTTAGGATATAAACTAAATTATGTAACTATTATGCAACTAACATATTATGTACTTTTAGTTAATAAATTATGTATTTATTACGACAATTAACATATTATGTACCTTATGTTTATTTATAGGTATATAATATGTTAAGTGTAAATAAATTATTTAAATATCGTTTTAAATAAGAATTCATAAGGGGAGTGGACCTAGTTCATAGTATAATATAATTTACCTTGCTTGGTGATATGGAACGTATATGTTGTGTTGCAAAATCAGGGACATACATAGCGCCGGGCTATATATCCTAACTGCAAACTTGCTTAGGAAGTTTAGAATCCAAGTTACCAATCAAAACTTTTATTAATCGATTTATTCGATCCAATATGCTATATTCACATTAAATGTAAATTAACAACTAAAAATTATTATTTGTACTAGTTTTTAAGGCATATTGAATTGTAGAATAATTGAAATATAAATAAAGTTGCACAACAAAGATGTGTTGAAATTGATGTTATAACAACGTAACCCTGACAACCGACACAGAAAAAAATAATAAAAGGATAATATTGCAGATTTGCAGATAATAATGTCTTGTCTTATCCTGTCTTATTTTATTATAGAGATTGTCCTATACCCTTTATATAGGTGTATGAAGACTAGAAAATAGGATCAAACAACCTATAATTAGGATCTCTATAAAATAGATCTTGACTAATTAAGTACCACAAGATTAATTCAACAATAAGATTATTTAATGATAAATAAATCAGAATTATATAATGGTCCAACATCCCCTTAATTCTAATTTAGGAGGGTCTTAGACCATTTGCTTTCATTTTGATCTTCCATTTCACATCAATGGCCTTGTGACTTTATGGAAAGTTTGCTAGCTCTCATGTTCCATTTTTATGTATTATATTTAAGTTATTTCGTCCTCCATATATAGCTTTCTTCCATTTCGGACGATTTTGAATAACATCTTCAAATTTCTCAGATTCAATTTATGTTAACAAAGCATAGTGAGCCAATTCACCATTATAATTGATTTTATCATCATTTTTTACCTCATAATTTTGTAAGCTCATTAGCATTTGCCATTGTCCTTCTAATCTCCCTGGTTGTTCAATAGGTGTTGTAATACAACACGAGGTGGTTCTACTATTATTTCTGTTGAAACTTCAATAGCACGCAACATGTTTTTCGTCAAAAATATGAACTCATTTTTTGTGAATCTTGATCATCATCCACACTCCAACTCCATACTTCATCTTCTACAAAAATAACATCACGATTCAAGACTGACAATCACCTTTTTTACCACAGGATTGTACAGTTTATAGCCTCCTTGCTTGTAATCTGCAAAAATTGTTGTTCAATTTAGTTCTTGTTATTTAATTTTGCTCAATTTAGTTCTTGTTATTTAATTTTGCTCAATTTAGATTGACATCATCAATGCATTTTTTATTGATTTTTTCTAATTTTTAGGCTTAAGTGGAAGAAAAATGTGAAAGGAGAGGGGGGCAAATTTTACTTATGCAAATATAAGTTTTTTGAGAGTCTCACTGCTAGAAATAAAAGAGAGAATTTTCACTACAAGTGCACGCTGAGTTTTATATATATATATATATATATATATATATATATATATATATATATTTTGCTTTTTGTTTTTTCTTTTTCTCCACCCTCTATTCTACATGACACCTTACATTTTGTGAAAAAAACTTACACGGATAAACATGCTCTAAATTAATGGTGTTAAAATGACTATTAATTTTGCTGACTTGGATTGGAATCATCCCTGCCATGTTAGCCTAATCAATGATGTGGCACGCCAACTCATATCTTATTATATTAATATTTAAAATTAATTAATTATATCACCAACAAGTTGTATTAACCTATCCAAAATCAATAATTAATTACAATCCTCCGGGAAGAAATTAAACCCTCAATCCTTTTAGTTATACCATGGATCATGATTCATCTTACATTAACATATTATATACTCCGTAATTAAAGTTTATATTGACGGAGTGCATGTAAATAAAAACTAGAAAAAGAGCTGAGGATTATATATGTTTAAAGTTTGTTAGTTGAAAACCATAAACTACATTAGGATGTTAAAAAAAAAAAAAAAAAAAAAAAACATTGTTGAATTCTCCATTGATATAGCTATATATGCATTGATGAAGCTAATTGAAAGTCTTGAATTCTTGTTCAGTCGTCTAATATAATACCTTGGTTGTCAAGAAAAAGAAGGGCGGGGAACAAGAAAGCGCCCTTTTGATCGAGTAGACAATAAAATGGGCTTTGCTAAATGCTAACAGCACCGTAGATTGCGCCTTGGGAACAAAATCCTCTTCCTCCCGGCAGTGGCAACAGATTTGTGCCATTTTATTTTCAAATTTAGAGTTGGAATTCATGTAATTTCAAAATTTATTCTCACTCTTATTTTTTATATGACAAACAATGATAGATTATTTGTATTATGTGAATTTAAAAAAACGTTTATATAAAAAATATGAGAACATAGATAAAAATTGCAAATAAAAAATAGAACTCGATGTAATATTTTTCATTTATTAATTTTTGCAACACCAAAAGCACTTGAATTCAATGGGCCGGTTTGCTGGTTTTTCCGCTCGCTATGCTGAAAAATTCACTTTAACGGTTACTAATCTAGACATTAAATATTGTAAGTTCCATTTGGAAGATTGTAAGTTCGAGCCTCAATGGAGGCATTATTAGCTCGTTGTGTTTCAGTAGGTTGAGAAAGTATATGAACAGATACTACAATGTAATAGAGCTAGTAGCATTCAAAAAAAAAAAAAAAAAAAAAAATCTAGACATTAAATATTTAATGTTCCCCTTTTGATTTCTACAACTTTTTTTTTTTTTTTAAATTAAATAACTAAGAAATCGACAATAGAATAAGAAGTAATATATTTTGGCTATGTTTAGTAACATATAATTAGCTTATGAGTTAAGTTTGACTTATTTGACTACTATTAACTAACTATTTCACTTAGTTAAATATTAAGTATTTGATTAATTAATTTTTTGAAATAATTTATTGCTCTAAAATGCTAAAACTCAAAAAGTTACTAGCACCTTTTTCCATCCGTAATCAGCTAAAACTCAAAAACTCAAATAATTTTACATGTAATCAGCTCTTCGATAATAACTAATTTACCAAACTTTATTTACCATCGACTAATGTTATAAATTAGTTAAACTCAATCAATTAACAACTATTTATCAAATATTCATTTTCTATAACTAAATGATTCAAATTAGGAAGTGAATACGCCGACCATTTTAGGCATCCAAAATACACATTTCCGAAATTGTCATTAGAACCATTTCAAGGATTGACTTATTTCCATAATAATAAATGCTTAAATCCGGTTCATGATCATCATCATCATTATCATCTTGTTGAATGCTCGCCTGCAAATTTTCTGGTCCGGCCCGATAATGTTCCTTATTCAGATACATCACTTCTGCTTTGTCAATGTGAACGAGTTATCAATGTTCATTGACTCATTGTCTTTCCGTTACATTTGTCACCCAGCGGCGAGTCGGTTAACCGTTCGCCGCCAACCACCCTCCGCCATTTCGGTGCTTCGTTGTTACGTTTCATTAATTGCTTACTTGATTTTTAGCATTTTTACGCCTCTCTGATCTTTATCGTTGTTTTTGTTCACAGAGCTTAACATTATCGTTTTCATTTCGCCATGGATTTTACGATGCGTTTGTTGATCGTACTGTTGTTTTCTGCTGCTTTGGTTACTCCGACGAGTTCTTCGAGCCGGGATGTGGCGGTTCTGCTCCGCGTTAAGACTCGCCAACTCGGTGATAGCGGTGGTGTACTCGGTGACTGGAACGAGTCGGCTCCTGGTGCGCCGTGTCACTGGACTGGCATTACTTGTGATCGCCGGAGCCGAGCTGTTGTGTCGATCAATTTGGGTGGTTTAGAAGTCTCCGGCGGGTTTCCTGCAGACTTTTGCCGGATTTCGACTCTTCGGAGTCTCAACCTCTCCGATAACTACTTCGGCGGGGAGATTAACGCGGATTCCTTCTCCTTATGCTCTCACTTGGAGTTTTTGGACATTTCCTCCAACCTTCTGGTAGGCGAGTTGCCGGAGCTCCGAAGGGAATTCTCAAACCTCACTACGTTCGACCTTCAAGCGAACAATTTCTCCGGCGAAATTCCGGCGGGTTTTTTCCGGATGCCGAAGCTGAGAAAGCTTTATCTCGTGAATAACCTCTTCAATGGAACAGTGCCTGAGTCCTTGTCAAATCTCACCGAGTTGACCCATCTCGTTATTGCCTTTAATCCTTTCACGTCTAGTCCATTGCCGCCGTCAATCGGACGTCTTAAAAAACTCCAGTTTCTGTACGCGCGAGAAGCAAACCTCATGGGAGCCATTCCGGATTCCATCGGAAGACTTGTTAATTTAAGAATCTTAGATCTCTCCTTCAACGCACTCTCTGGTAAAATTCCAGAGACCATGGGGGGATTGAAACGCGCCGAAGAAATTCTTCTTTACGGGAACCAACTCTCCGGTGAATTACCGGACGCATTTTCGAATCTCACTTCTCTGGCATTCTTCGATGCTTCTCAAAACATGTTGACCGGGAGAATACCGGAAAGTCTCGCCAGATTACATCTGGAATTGCTGCACCTAAACGACAACGATCTAGAAGGTGAAATTCCAGAAAGCTTATCTCTAAACCCTAAGCTCAGTGACTTGAAGCTTTTCAACAACAAATTATCGGGGAAGTTGCCGGAAAACCTAGGTATGAACTCGGAATTGATGGATTTTGACGTTTCTGGTAACAATTTAGAAGGTCCACTGCCACCAAATCTCTGTTCAAAAAAGATGCTGCGGAATTTGATCCTTTTCAATAACAGATTCTCCGGCAGCATTCCAGAGTCCTACGGCGAGTGCAGTTGTATGAGGTATGTGCGTATCCAAAATAATGAATTATCAGGAAAGTTGCCCACCGGTTTCTGGAGTTTTCCTGAGTGTCAACTCTTTGAGCTTCGGGAAAACAAATTTGAAGGTACAATTCTGCCTTCAATTTCCAGTGCTCGGGAGATGATGCAGATTCTAATCTCCGACAACAATTTCTCCGGCGAATTGCCTGTAGAAATATGCGAATTGCCGGATTTGGTAGTCATGGATATGAGCAGAAATCGATTCTCAGGTCCATTTCCAACGTGCCTGACAAGACTGCAGAATCTACAGAAGCTCCACCTTCAAGAAAATCTCATGGGAGGTGAAATTCCCCAGTCTGTTGGTTCATGGACTGCCTTGACAGACTTGAATTTGTCTTTCAATCAATTCACTGGTAAAATTCCAAGCTCTCTTGGATCACTGCCGGTATTAAACTATTTAGACCTCTCCTGGAACAAGATTTCCGGTGAAATTCCTGCTTCATTAACCAAGCTAAAGCTCAACACCTTCAACCTTTCAAACAACAAGCTTGAAGGGAAAGTTCCTTCTGAGTTTGATAACAGTTTTTTTCTATCAAGCTTCGTGGGGAATCCGGGTTTATGCAGTTCTCTCAATTTTAATGGTCTCCCTTCGTGCACAAAACACAGATCCACTCACTCACATTTGCTGGGCATTTTGGCACCCTGTGCTGTCATCCTCGTCGGGTTACTCATCTGTCTCTCGATCAAGGCCAAAAACCTGATATCTGGTAGGAAAAGAAGCAAACATTCATTGAAGAGGATTGCATTTCAGAAGATCCAGTTTAAAGAATCTGAATTGTTGGCTTCCCTGATCAACGAGAACATCATAGCAAGAGGTGGTTCGGGTCAGGTATTCGGGGTGAAACTGAAAAATGGAAAGATGGTTGCAGTGAAGAAGCTCTGGGAAGCTAACAGGGAATGCGAATCTGAAGTTGTGTTCAAGGCAGAAATGGAGACTTTAGGGAGCATTCGCCATAAAAACATAGTGAAATTGTTGTATGGTTGTATGGGGAAAGATTTCAAGATTCTGGTTTATGAGTACATGGAGAATGGCAGCTTGGGAGATGTGTTGCATGGAGAGGAAGGCGTCGTGCTGGACTGGCCGACGAGGTTCAATATTGCAGTCGGGGCAGCTCAAGGACTTGCATATCTGCACCACGATTGCGTGCCTCCAATCCTCCACCGTGACATCAAGTCTAACAACATCTTGCTGGACAAAGATTTCAGGCCAAAAGTTGCTGATTTTGGGCTTGCCAAGATGATGTACCGGGGTACTGAAGTCCAAGAGAGTGGTCAAGTCATGTCCCATGTTGCTGGTTCCTATGGCTACATTGCACCTGGTAAGACGTACTTCATTTCCTCAGGGGGAAATTGGCCCATTTGGCTCCCAACTTATGCACTAATCATGTCACTTTTTTGTAGAATATGCATACACACTAAGGATTTCAGAAAGAAGCGATGTATACAGCTTTGGGGTGGTACTACTGGAGTTAATATCTGGGAAACGACCAAACGATGAGTGCTTTGGTGATGACAACAACATGGTAAAATGGGCATCCAACGTTATAATTGAAGAAGAAACGAATGGTTTTGGTGATGAGTTGTATCATATTGTTGATCCTAGAATGAATTTATTCCCGCGCGATTTGGAAGAAATCAAGAAACTCTTGAACGTGGCTTTGTTATGTACTTCAGCATTTCCTGTTGATAGGCCCTCCATGAGAAGGGTTGTCAAGTTGCTGAAGGACATATCCAGATAGCTCAACGGTTCGGTTCGGTGACACCCGACTTTTATTTTTGATATCAACATTTTTTTTTTTAGAGAAAACTTTGTATACAAATTTAAATCTAATACTATAATATTTATGATTTTTTAAAATGTAGCATTCTAAAGTTGCTTAGCTTGCTGGAAGCATAGATTCTTTTCTATACTTTCATTTCCCCATTCATTCTCAAAACTTTGTACTCGAACTTATCTTAATGTTATGATATCTCTATATATAATAAAGTAGAATCAAGGTGAAATTTTTTTTCCCTCCATTTGGTGCATTTGAGAGTTATGGAATATCAAGGGTTTAGGAACTTCATAATCATCATAAATAATTAAATAAAGACGAAAGAAAATCAAAGTGAATAATAATCAAAAAGAGTTTGGTGTAGTGGAGAATAATTCACAAAATTAATTTGAGTAATAATTGTTGATCCATAATTGAAAATTAACATTGCAATAATTATGTTATGTTTCTAAGAGTATCCCCATTAACGGGATTGTTAGCAGAATTTTTCCCTTCATTTGGTGCATTTGAGAGTTATGGAATATCAAGGGTTTAGGAACTTCATAATCATCATAAATAATTAAATAAAGATGAAAGAAAATCAAAGTGAATAATAATCAAAAAGAGTTTAGTGGAGTGGAGAGTAATTCACAAAATTAATTTGAGTAATAATTATTGATCCATAATTGAAAGTTAACATTGCAATACTTATGTTATGTTTCTAAGAGCATCCCCGTTAAGGGATTGTTCACAGTTTTTTAGGAAAAAATGCCAAACTTAAAAGAGAGAGAGGGAGGAGAGAGAAGGAGTAGGGTGCACCTGCAAAGACCCAAGTTTATTCAGAGTTTGTGGGTCTCACTAAGAGAGAGAAGGAAGTTTAATTTGCGGGTCAAAAAAAATTTCAGCTTTGTTTTTTTTTTTTTTTTTTTTTTTTCACACATTTTTCTCTCTCCTCTATATATCTTATTTGGCACCTAAAAACTTGTGCTAAAAAACTTGTCTATTGAGGATGCTCATATAGCATTTACTATTTACACACCAATTGCAAATGACATTAGCAAAGTATCAAGTATGAATGCATTAATTGTGTTCACATTTACGACAATAAATAAAACATTTTTACAAATTTCAATAACCACATGTTTCAATATTTACATGAACATTTACACCTACTTCAACATTATAAATAAGTCATCATCCACAACCAATATAATACTACAATTATATTTTGGTCGTGCTTGGAATTAGGAGGATGATCGTGACTAGTATAGGGAGAAAAATATTTTTGGGAGCTTAGATCTCCTATAGAACTTTATACCTTGCGATCTAGGGAATATGAATATTTCTGGGAGCGGAAGAACTCAAGTAAGTTTTTCTGTTTCCACAGCCATTAATTTCTTTGCTAATTTAGAGTATGTCAAAAATTTAATTGATAAATTTATTAAATTAATAATAGTCTGTGCATCGCACTGGACGATTACTAGTTTTCTTAAAAAGAAAAAGTTACAAATGAATATGCTGTGGATGGGCATTGGGCAATGATACTTTCAATTGCGGCCATACTATATATTTAACTTTTCAATTCATTTATTTGTAATATAAATTTGATTTTAAATCTCACAAAAAATAAATTTGATTTAAAAATTTTTAGTGAAGTAACGGGTTAAATCAGTGAAATTAATATTTGATTAATATGATATTATGGATCAAATTCAACACTCTACTAATATTGTAAAAGTACAAGATTTTGTCATATTGCAAGAAGGTAAGCTATTCTTTGCTCTGATAATTTTACTCTATATGTGACGAGCTCTGATATGCTATTTTTTTTTTTTTTTGAAAGGGAATGACAAATGTATTTTTTTTGGTTGATATGTAAAAGTACAAGATTTTGTCATATTGCAAGAAGGTAAGCTATTCTTTGCTCTGATAATTTTACTCTGTATGTGACGAGCTCTGATAAGCTATTTTTTGCTCTGATAAAGTTTTGTAGGTGGGAGTAAAAGTTGGGGTAGAAAATATGAGTACACATATATTATAATTAAATGTATCACTTTAAGGAATTGTGAAATATAATTTGAATTAAATTTTTTTATTAATATTTTTATATTCGACATGAATTTTTTTGAGAGGAATGAACAAGCTAGAATTACTATTGTCAATGGCCGGTTTACTGCACTGTACAAAAAAAAAAAAAATTAGTTTTTCATCCATAACTCCGTAAGTATGTTAACACTAGAGCAAGTTTGTGATAACAGAAAGAACAGATTCTTTTATTAGAGTAGGTTATTTCAAATTCTTAGAGGCACAGATATTCTCATTTAGGAGATTCATACAAATGTGTAAGTCTAAATGCCTAATAGCCATAGTTCTTGTGTTCTCTGTCTGGCAAACCACAGACAAGTCCCTTGAAATATCACTTAGATGTTCACAGATTTATAAGTAGAACTCGGAACCGTTCCCTTCACTAAGGTCCTATATGAGTCAGTGACACATGTTTATGCCTTACCAGATTTTGAGCAAACTTAAAGTCTCTGTCTAGCCTCAACTCCTCAATATAAATATATCTCTTCTTTATGCATTTTCATCACCAAGCCATTAGCAATTCATCCAAATCATTAAGTTCTCTCTTCAAAATCTCAATCTCTAAAAGAAACACCAGATAGAGAGTAGGTGGCCAATTAAGGCTGTTGCACCTTCAGCCCATTCTGGTAAAATTGGTTAATGCACCTCCAACAATATTTTCTCCAAGTTTCTTTTACATGCATATCAAGAGATGCTACTATTGATATTCTACTATTGTCGTTTGATATGCTACTCTGGTATCTTGATATGCTACTTTTGATATGATACTACTCTTGTCTATTGATATGCTACTCTTGATATGCTACTATTGTCTATTGATATGCTTGTTGACCATATAACCATTAATGTGCAATCTAATTATTAGCTTAGGCTTTTAGTGAGATGGGTACATGCTTCAATTTGGTATCAAAGCCAGACCAAAGGTCATGGGTTCGAATCTTTACGTCACCCCATAAGCGCTTTTAGTTGAGATGGAGCACATGCTTCAATTTGGTATCAGAGCCAGACCAAAGGTCATGGCTTCGAATCTCAACGCCACTTGGAACCCACCGCACACGTGAGTGAACGCTTTTTGTTCAATTTGGTATCAGAGCCAAACCAAAGGTCATAGCTTCGAATCTCAGTGCCACTCATAAGCGAATACGGTCCACGTGTTGCTTGGGACCCACCGCACACGTGAGGGGGCGTGTTGAGCATATAACCATTAATGTGCAATCTAACTATCAGCTTAGGCTTTTAGTTGAGATGAAGCACATGCTTCTATTTGGTATCAGAGCCAGACGAAAGGTCATGGGTTCGAATCACTATGGTCCACGTGTTGCTTGGAATCTACTGAGCACATGCTTCAATTTAGTATCAGAGCCAGACCAAAGGTCATGGTCATGGGCAATTTGGTATCAGAGCCAGACCAAAGGTCATGGCTTCGAATCTCAGCTGGTTTGCCTTTTGGAAGGCAGCACACATGTTCTTGTGATCTTCGAGTATCCCCATTCTATTGTACAATTTGGTATCAGCGCAAGCTTCGAATCTCAGCCGGTTTGCCTTCTGGAAGGCAGCACACCTGTTCTTGTGATCTTTGAGTTTCCCCATTCTATCGTACTCTTTTCCACAGTCCTTACATTTGAACACAAGTTCCTTCTTCTCGTTATCTTTAGCCATCCTGTAAATTATCACCCAATGTCCATACCATTGCTCAATCACTAGACAAACAACATCAATATGCATAAATCACTTCAATAACTAGACAACCAACATTAGTATGCATAAATCACTTCAATCACTTGACAACCAACATCAATATGCATAAATCACTTCAATCACTAGACAACCAACATCAGTATGCATAAATCACTTCAATAACTAGACAACCAACATCAATATGCATAAATCACTTCAATCACTAGACAACCAACATCAGTATGCATAAATCACTTCAATCACTTGACAACCAACATCAACATGCATAAATCACTTCAATCACTAGACAACCAACATCATAAATCTCTACCTGATGAGTTGAGCAGATTCGAGTGAGTAAGTAGATTCGTGTGATAAACTGAGTAGATCCGAGTGAGTAAGCAGATTCGTGTGAGTAAATGAGTTGGTCCCTAAAATAGGACTGGGCTGAATATGCACTATTGGCCCTGGGCAAGGGCAGGCTGGGCCCTTACCCAGGGCCCATGTTTGTAAATATAGTTGGGGTCCCCTTTTGTTACGAACATAATTATGCACATTTTCCTTGACAAAGCTAAGGGAAATCATGGAAATTGTAGTTAGATTCCGTTAACTAATTAGGAGAATTCCATTAACTAATTAATAAATTTTAAGTTAGTAAAAAAAGGGAGCTAAGGAGAGGAAAGATTAAAATTCAAAATGACAATATAAGTTTCAAAGGTTAATGATTTGGAAAACATAGGAAACAAATTAAAGGGACAAAAAACCCATCATAGTTAATACATGTATGTAAATGCATTGATCGATTTTAGTATTTCCACAGCAATTTGCATACAATTAAGAAGCTTTAATTTTTAATTTGCTGTTTCAATTTAACTTTCACTATTAATTGCTAGTAAAAGTTTATGACCAGAGAGGGTATCATGTCATAGGACACTACAATCATGACATCCCACCAATCCGTCACACCCATTTTAAAGATAGTCATACACCAATTTTAGTGTCATACTAAAACATTTCTTTCATTTTTTTACAAGATAAACAATATTATAGATAGCAAACATCATTGATAACATCTTTTATATATATATATATATATATATATATATATATATATATATATATATATATATATATATACATATATATATACATATATATATATATATATATATATATATATATATATATATATATATATATATATATATATATATATATATATATATATACATATATATATATATATATATATATATATATATATATATATATATATATATATATATATATATATATATAACATTCTTTTATATTAATAAATAATATTGAGACGTGTAATTTATAATGTGTTCTCGCGTTAATTACCAATTTGGTCCCTCGACTACGAACATTTCACCAATTTGATCATAGACTATCAAAATTCTTCAATTTGATCTCCGATATCATTTTATCCGATTTGATCCTCATTGTAATTTACCGGTCAAACTAAATAGGCAAATTGAAAATTAGTTTTATACCGATTTGATCCTCATTGTAATTTACCGGTCAAACTATATATATATATATATATATATATATATATATATATATATATATATATATATATATATATATATATATATTCTTCTTAACTCTTTTGTTTGGCCAAACCCGACAATGTGTTTCACGTGTAAGTTTAAGGTGACAGACGCGTAGCCAGCAGTGGACATGAAGGAGGCGTTCAAGAAGTATGCGGAGGAAGGGAGTTAGATGAGCTGGGAGCAGTTGCTGCGTTTCCTAACGGATGAGCCAGACCAAAGGTCATGGGTTCGAATCTCTACGTCACCCCATAAGCGCTTTTAGTTGAGATGGAGCACATGCTTCAATTTGGTATCAGAGCCAGACCAAAGGTCATGGCTTCGAATCTCAACGCCACTTGGAACCCACCGCACACGTGAGTGAACTCTTTTTGTTCAATTTGGTATCAGAGCCAGACCAAAGGTCATGGCTTCGAATCTCAGCGCCACTCATAAGCGAATACGGTCCACGTGTTGCTTGGGACCCACCGCAAACGTGAGGGGGCGCGTTGAGCATATAACCATTAATGTGCAATCTAACTATCAGCTTAGGCTTTTAGTTGAGATGAAGCACATGCTTCAATTTGGTATCAGAGCCAGACCAAAGGTCATGGGTTTGAATCACTATGGTCTACGTGTTGCTTGGAATCAACTGAGCACATGCTTCAATTTAGTATCAGAGCCAGACAAAAGGTCATGGTCATGGGCAATTTGGTATCAGAGCCAGACCAAAGGTCATGGCTTCGAATCTCAGCTGGTTTGCCTTCTGGAAGGCAGCACACGTGTTCTTGTGATCTTCGAGTTTTCCCATTCTATCGTACAATTTGGTATCAGAGCCGACTTCGAATCTCAGCCGGTTTGCCTTCTGGAAGGCAGCACACCTGTTCTTGTGATATTTGAGTTTCCCCATTCTATCGTACTCTTTTCCACAGTCCTTACATTTGAACACAAGTTCCTTCTTCTCGTTATCTTTAGCCATCCTGTAAATTAACACCCAATGTCCAAACCATTGCTCAATCACTAGACAACCAACATCAATATGCATAAATCACTTCAATCACTAGACAACCAACATCAGTGTGCATAAATCACTTCAATCACTTGACAACCAACATCAATATGCATAAATCACTTCAATCACTAGACAACCAACATCAGTATGCATAAATTACTTCAATAACTAGACAACCAACATCAATATGCATAAATCACTTCAATCACTAGACAACCAACATCAGTATGCATAAATCACTTCAATCACTTGACAACCAACATCAACATGCATAAATCACTTCAATCACTAGACAACCAACATCATAAATCCCTACCTGATGAGTTGAGCAGATTCGAGTGAGTAAGTAGATTCGTGTGATGAACTGAGTAGATTCGAGTGAGTGAGCAGATTCGTGTGAGTAAATGAGTTGGTCCCTAAAATAGGACTGGGCTGAATATGCAGTATTGGCCCTGGGCAAGGGCAGGTTAGGCCCTTACCCAGGGCCCATGTTTGCAAATATAGTTGGGGCCCCCTTTTGTTACGAACATAATTATGCACATTTTCCTTGACAAAGCTAAGGGTAATCATGGAAATTGTAGTTAGATTCCGTTAACTAATTAGGAGAATTGCATTAACTAATTAATAAATTTTAAGTTAGTAAAAAAGAGAGCTAAGGAGAGGAAAGATTAAAATTCAAAATGACAATATAAGTTTCAAAGGTTAAAGATTTGGAAAACAGAGGAAACAAATTAAAGGGATAAAAAACCCATCATAGTTAATACATGTTTGTGAATGCTGACGGGCATATTTTACACTCATATTTTAGGTACATCTTTATAATAATTTTGCATTAATTATTTATAATTATATAATAATTATTTCATTTTTAGAATTTAATTATTAATTAGTTAAATAAGTGTTTTACAATAATATTTAGTTAATAATTTGATTAAAGTGCGCTATAGTTATTAATTTATATTATTTAACTTAATTTAATTTTTATTTAATATAATGATTTATAATCTATTTTGTATTCATTTACTTAAAAAGCTAATTAAGATTAGTTTATATTTATTATATTTATAAGTAGTAAATGGGTCCAATTTGGATATTAAATTTGGATTGATTAAATAAACAATATTCTAATGACTAAGGTTGAGCCTTTTAATTAAATAAAGTCCAAAGAATGAAGCATTATTATATTTTACAATTCTTTCTTCTCTTATGTACAGATCATGCAGCGCACTACTTCGTCAAATTTGGAACAATTCCGGCGGCATTCTCGGAAGACTCGGACGTAAGGCTAAAATGGATGGTTGAAATTCATTTGGCCTATTTTTAGAATGCTATAAATAGTAGAAGTTTCCTATTGTAAAATGTTCATTCTTCCCCTCTCGATTATTCTGTAAAGTTGTTATCAATGTCCATTCATTGCTAATTTCTTTAGTTGGTTTAGTGAATTGAAGCCCCGGAGTTCATAACGCTGTAAGGTTATTTATTTAACTTTATTATATATATGTTTTTATGCATTTTGAGTATTAAATATTCTTCTAATAAATTATTTGAATAGTTGTATCATTTAATTGCTAGGGAGGCCTACTAGTTATTTATTTGATATAATTATTTGCTATATTAGATAATGTTGTGCTACAAATTATTCTAATATTCAGTAGCAACTGAGGTTAATTATTGACGACTTAGTAATAATTGGTCTCGGGTAGAATATTTTCCTAAATTAAATGCAACCGCTTGTGCTTGTGTTATGTAGTTTGTCGGTTTTCCTAGTTCCTATTGCTGCTATTAAATTAAATCTATAGCGCTTGTCTTAGGTTATTTAGTAGTTAGGGGTAATTAAACCGCGTGTGCTTTAGTTACCTACAACTAAGGAAAAACGGAAATGAAATAATTTCACGACAAATATTCAATTGCATATTAATTACTTTATTAATCAATGATCAGTGTTAAATTCCAGTGGTGGATCTTTACTAACCAAGGTTTCTTATTATAAGTGTTTTCGATATATTATTTTCATTGCTTTATTCGTTCAGTTAAATTTCTTGTTTATTTAAATTCTCTTTTGTTTTATCTTTACTCTCGATATATTCCAAACCCCCCTACCTTTAATTTGAGCACAAAAGTTAAACTAGTTACTCCTCGTGGGATCGATCCTTACTCCCGCTACTACGTTTGTAAGGTTTTAATTTGGGAGCCTACGACAGCTCACCAAATGAATTGATCGATTTTAGTATTTCCACAGCAATCTGCATACAATTAAGAAGCTTTAATTTTTAATTTGCTGTTTCAATTTAACTTTCACTATTAATTGCTAGTAAAAGTTTATGACCAGAGAGGGTATCATGTCATAGGACACTACAATCATGACTTCCCACCAATCCGTCACACTCATTTTAAAGATAGTCATACACCAAGTTTAGTGTCATACTAAAACATTTCTTTCATTTTTTTACAAGATAAACAATATTATAGATAGCAAACATCATTGATAACATCTTTTATATATATATATATATATATATATATATATATATATATATATATATATATAACATTCTTTTATATTAATAAATAATAATGAGACGTGTAATTTATAATGTGTTCTCGCGTTAATTACCAATTTGGTCCCTCGACTATGAACATTTCACCAATTTGATCATCGACTATCAAAATTCTTCAATTTGATCTCCGATATCATTTTATCCGATTTGATCCTCATTGTAATTTACCGGTCAAACTAAATAGGCAAATTAAAAATTAATTTTATACCGATTTGATCCTCGTTGTAATTTACCGGTCAAACTAAATAGGCAAATTGAAAATTAATTATATATATATATATATATATATATATATATATATATATATATATATATATATATATATATTCTTTTTAAGTCTTTTGTTTGGTCAAACCCGACAATGTGTTTCACGTGTAAGTTTAAGGTGACAGACGCGTAGCCAGCAGTGGACATGAAGGAGGCGTTCAAGAAGTATGCGGAGGAAGGGAATTAGATGAGCTCGGAGCAGTTGTTGCGTTTCCTAACGGATGAGCCAGACCAAAGGTCATGGGTTCGAATCTCTACGTCACCCCATAAGCGCTTTTAGTTGAGATGGAGCACATGCTTCAATTTGGTATCAGAGCCAGACCAAAGGTCATGGCTTCGAATCTCAACGCCACTTGGAACCCACCGCACACGTGAGTGAACGCTTTTTGTTCAATTTGGTATCAGAGCCAGACCAAAGGTCATGGCTTCGAATCTCAGCACCACTCATAAGCGAATACGGTCCACGTGTTGCTTGGGACCCACCGCACACGTGAGGGGGCGTGTTGAGCATATAACCATTAATGTGCAATCTAACTATCAGCTTAGGCTTTTAGTTGAGATGAAGCACATGCTTCAATTTGAAATTAGAGCCAGACCAAAGGTCATGGGTTCGAATCACTATGGTCCACGTGTTGCTTGGAATCTACTGAGCACATGCTTCAATTTAGTATCAGAGCCAGACCAAAGGTCATGGCTTCGAATCTCAGTTGGTTTGCCTTCTGGAAGGCAGCACACATGTTCTTGTGATCTTCGAGTTTCCCCATACTATCGTACAATTTGGTATTAGAGCCGGCTTCGAATCTCAGCCGGTTTGCCTTCTGGAAGGCAGCACACCTGTTTCTTGTGATCTTTGAGTTTCCCCATTCTATCGTACTCTTTTCCACAGTCCTTACATTTGAACACAAGTTCCTTCTTCTCGTTATCTTTAGCCATCCTGTAAATTAACACCCAATGTCCATACCATTGCTCAATCACTAGACAACCAACATCAATATGCATAAATCACTTCAATCACTAGACAACCAACATCAGTATGCATAAATCACTTCAATCACTTACAACCAACATCAATATGCATAAATCACTTCAATCACTAGACAACCAACATCAGTATGCATAAATCACTTCAATAACTAGACAACCAACATCAATATGCATAAATCACTTCAATCACTAGACAACCAACATCAGTATGCATAAATCACTTCAATCACTTGACAACCAACATCAACGTGCATAAATCACTTCAATCACTAGACAACCAACATCATAAATCCCTACCTGATGAGTTGAGCAGATTCGAGTGAGTAAGTAGATTCGTGTGATGAACTGAGTAGATTCGAGTGAGTAAGCAGATTCGTGTGAGTAAATGAGTTGGTCCCTAAAATAGGACTGGGCTGAATATGCAGTATTGGCCCTGGGCAAGGGAAGGCTGGGCCCTTACCCAGGGCCCATGTTTGCAAATATAGTTGGGGCCCCCTTTTGTTACGAACATATTTATGCACATTTTCCTTGACAAAGCTAAGGGTAATCATGGAAATTGTAGTTAGATTCCGTTAACTAATTAGGAGAATTCCATTAATAAATTTTAAGTTAGTAAAAAAGGGAGCTTAAGGAGAAGAAAGATTAAGCTTTGTAGGTGGGAAACGATCAAACGATGAGTGCTTTGGTGATGACAACAACATGGTAAAATGGGCATCCAATATTATAATTGAAGAAGAAACAAATGGTTTTGGTGATGAGTTTTATAAAATATTTGACCCTAAGATGAATTTATCCTCGCGAGATTTGGAAGAAATCAAGAAACTCTTGAACGTGGCTTTGCTATGTACGTCACCATTTCCGGTTGATAGGCCCTCCATGAGAAGGGTTGTCAAGTTGCTACCCAGCACTCAAAGCCCGCTACTTAGCCGACTTTGGCTTGTGCTTCGACACATGTTTGGGTTTTGCCTTCTTGAAGGCAGCACACCTGTTCTTGTGATCTTCGAGTTTCTCCATTCTATCGTACTCTTTTCCACGGTCCTTAAGAATTACGCATATTGCGAGAAGGGAAGCTATTCTTTGCTCTGATAATTTTACTCTGTGATGTGACGAGCTCTGATAAGCTATTTTTTGCTCTGATAAAGCTTTGTAGGTGGGAAC